AGATTTATAGAGATAGAGAATAGAATCTGGAGTAAGAAAGTGTCGAGCTCGATAAAGAGATGCAACCTTAGCAGATGCTAATTTTGCAATGGATTTGATATACGGTTTAAAAGAAAGATCAGAAGTAAGAGTTAATCCTAGAAGATGAATGGTAGATGACTCATCTAGTACATTACCATTCATAAATATAGGAAGATCTAAATTATTACGATAACGATTGGCCGAATAAAATTGAGTTTTATCTGAATTAAAGTTCACCAGCCACTGTGAGCCCCATGCTGTAGCAGAAGTGAGATCCTTTTCAAGCTCAGATACCCTCTCCAGGCAATCAGAGAGTGTAGGCTTCTTATCATGACAAGAGTAAATGGTAGTGTCGTCAGCGAATAATGCCACCTTAGATGTGAGAATATCTGGAAGATCGTTAATGTAAATTAAAAAGAGTATAGGGCCAAGGATTGAACCTTGAGGAACCCCTGAAGTTACAGGATGTGAAGAAGAGTGTTGTCCATCGAGGACAACTTTTATACTACGATTGGAAAGAAAGGACTCAATAATCTTAAAGACGTTACCAGCTACACCATAAGAAGAAAGCTTATGGAGAAGATTCAAGATGAGAGAAGATTCAAGATGGAGAAGATTCAAGATGAGAGATTAAGTGTTTGTTGATTAAAGATTCAAAAACCTTGCTTATGACAGGAAGAAGACTAATGGGACGGTAGTTAGATGAATCAGATCGCTCTCCGGAATTTTTGAAAATAGGGATAACAGATGCTGCTTTCCAGCATGATGGAAAACAAGACTCTGATAAGCACTTGTTAAATAGTTTAGAAAGTATGGATGAAAGCTCCGGAGAACACCTCTGCAAGACTACAACAGGAATGTTGTCAGGACCACAAGCTGTTGAAGAGTCTAAGCAGGAAATTACTTTAGATACAGAAGCTGAAGTGATGCGAATGTCAAGCAAGGGATCAACCTGTTTGACGGCTATGTCAGGTAAAACGCAACTGGTGGAATCAAGAGATGATATTGATGAAAAGTTCTTAGCAAACAATTCAGCTTTGTCTTTAGGTGAGGTGACAAAGTCTGAACCATACAAGAGAGAAGGAATAACAGATTTGCCCTTATTATTGATACTGTTAAAGATTCTCCAGAAGTCTCGAGAGCCTAATTTTTGTGATGAGACACAAGATTTAATGACCTGGGAATAGCGAGCTTTGGCGTCAGACAAAACCTTTTTACAATGGTTTCTGGCGATAGTGAACAGATGTCTGTTTTCTGGAGAATTGTTTTGCTGATAGATATGGAAGTAACGGTTTCGATTAGAAATTGCTGCAGCGCAATGTGAGGAAAACCAAGGAGAAGAGTGAGGCTTGACCTGGAATCGTCGAGAGGGAATAAAAGATTCCATGCCAGCCTGAATCCACGAAGTTATGTAAGAAGCACATTTGTCAGCAGGAAGACGAAAGATTTCTACCTAAGGGCCATCACGAAGAAAATCACGGAAAGAGTCCAAGTCAGCTTTAAGGTAGTTGTATGTGGTACGATGTTAGGGGGATTCTGATGAAGTAGAAGAATTTGATAATAGTTTTAGAGAGATCAAACCGTGATCAGAAGTACCTAAGGGTGAATGTGGAGAAATTGAGCACCGACTAGGATCCAAAACAAGACATAAGTCGAGTAGAGAAGGTAAATGATTAGGGTTGTCTGGAAAACGAGTTGGAAAGTTGACTATTTGAGTTAGAGATTGAGAAAGGCAAAAGTTGAGGGCCTTAACGCCAGCAGAGTCACTGACACTAGAGCCAAGCCAATCGGTGTGATGGGCATTAAAGTCACCAACAACGACGATATTGGCCGATGGATAAAGAGAGAGAGCTTGGTCAATTTGATCAGAAATAACATCAAGAATAGTGCAATCTTGGGATGAAGGAGAGCGATATAGAACAAAGAGAAAGGCGATAGAGTGAAGTTGTGCTAAACGAAAGCACATAAATGAATAGTCTGTAGATTCAAACCTAGTTTCACGACAAATGGGTGAGTTCTTACGAATGTAGATGCCCAGGCCAAGCATGTGATTATTGGAGTCTTTACGAATTAAAGGAAGATAACCATCAACACTAAGATCACAAGATGGGACAGCCGAACTCAAATTAGTCTCACAAAGAGCAAGTAGGTCTGGTGAACTTTGCAAGAGATAAGACTCAACAGAAGAAAAGTTACTTCGAAGACCACGAATATTAGTAAATGATAGGTTTAGAGAACTTGGTGATGACGATGGTTTTTTGTGTTTTTTAGTTTTAGGTACTTTAGTCATTTTAAATTTATAAAGAACTTGACTCAAGTATAGATAGTACTCAGTACACTATTTAACAACTAAGCAATAGCCTCATTACTATTAATAAACCCTAAGCCGTAACAAAGGGCTCCAAATGTGGCCTCTGCAATGCACACCAAAAGTACAAACAGGGACACCATCCATGCGCAACATAGCACTGTTAGTACTCTGATATTTTTCGGCTGTTGATGGAATCAGCCTCTCTGAGAGCTACCACAGAGTTCGGGAAACCTGACTACCAGCCGGCCTCAGAACCATAAAACTGAGTTTTAGATTAGGAGATAATAGAATGAGATAATAGAATGAGTTGCCCAGTCATAAAAATAGAGACACAACAATACCCACGCATTGAGTCAAGAAGATCCAGCGTTCAACATCCTAAACTGGAAACAATGTATTAAAAATACATCTGCGCCAGCCTAATAGATGAGGAAGGGGTGCGAGGCTGGTCAACAGATAGAATCTGTTTACCCCTTAAGTCTTTGCCTAGGAGACCTTCTACAAGACAGCAGCTGGATGCATGTAACATCTGCCTAAGATGAGTATTTTTATCGAGACACCATCTCTAGCCTTTACTCAACCAAGAGCCCCAAGGCAGGGGGTGTTTTAATTCGGAGTTAACTTCTCCTAGCCTTTGCTTAAAAAAGCGTATCCTACAAGGCAGCAGGACATGAAGCAGGTTGTACTGGGTTACATGTTACCAGTAGCAGGAAAACCTGACCTGACCTGAATCCTGAAACCTGAATGAAAGATCAACGAAATGCTCTGTCTTACAAAAAATCTCTGCAAATCTTTGAATTCATTTATACACTGCTAACAATTATACGATTGAGATCATATCTTAGAGCCTGTTTCTTTACAAGGCCGAACACAAGACGTGGTTGGCGCATATAAAAGAGTACAGAAAGTTGTATTAGAATTGAAACACAGACGTGATACTCAGCTTAAACAACTATCTAATTTCAACTTCACACATGTTTTAAGAACAGCAGATCATTTGGGCGTTGATGTGGTGACATCTAAGGCAGTTCAACTGCAAACTTATACTTTAAAAGAAGTTTAAAAGCGTAACATCTTGATTCCTTATTTGAATTACATTATATCGGACCTTTAATTATTATTTAGTGAACAATCTTATTAAGGTACAAAGCTATTGTATATCGTGTGTGAAAATGTACCTCAAGCTTCAATATGTGACATAATTGAAAGTCTTAAAGATGTAGTCAAAATCTATAGTAGTAACAATCTACCTCTGCCAGGATTGCAAATTTACGAGCTTCATTGTTGAAATACGATAAGCAAGCTTTCCAAAATGTACATCACTATTATACATTGGCTGTACTCTTTCAGTAACGTCTTGTGAATGTGAGAGGTGTGTATCTGCGCTCAGCAGATTGTCAAATTATGTCAGAGCATCCATGAAGGACGAGCGGTTAGGAGAACTTATACAATGCATATTCCTTGTAATAAGGTCGAAGCGTTAGACAAAGCAGCGAAGTTGTTTATTAACTACATCCAAGAAGAATGGAGCTGCCATCTTTAATCATATAAGACCGATTTTTAATACAATATTTTGATGTATCTTACTTAATTTGGTTTTCTAATTATTATTTTGTCGCATTTTAAAATTATATCATTCTCTCCATTTGTGAATTATTGTATGCAATTTGTATGCCCGGGCATACAAAAAGCATATAATAATTCAAATGCATTCAAATTGCATACAATAATTCAAATAATTTAAAAATGGGCGCCCATTTGGCGCCCATTTTTAAATTATCGCCCTTTATGCCCATTTGGCGCCCGTAGCCAGAATGCTTTAAATTGCTCCCCCCCCCCCCTTTCAAAATATTCTGACTACTCGGTGTAGTTAAGGCACTTTTAAAATATTATAGAGTCTCTATGATATTTTGTTGATTATGACATATTTCCGTGAAATGGTCTGGTCTGTAAATTATGAAAAGACGAAAAAAATTAAAATAATAAATTTTGCGGTATCATAAAATATAAATGTTTGTAGCGAAAAAACCCAGACCGTGGAATCTTTTTTTTTTTTAAAATCATCTTAAAATTACAATCGCTCGTCCAAATTTAAATAAGATTTTATATTAATATGTTTTTTAGGTGAAATGAACATTATATTTTAACAATATGATCTGTTCTGATCGTTTATTGGCAATTATTTATAATTATAAGCTCTTTCTTGGTCGGAATTCCAGTATTTTTTGTGAAAAATGATAGAAGTATTGTTTTTTTGTCAACTATATATAGTTAATATACGTCAGAATCGATTTGAACTAGAATCAGTAGTAAATTAAGTAACTTTTTAAAAAGATGTTAACTAAATTCATGTTAATGTCAATGAGCGAAATTGATCTAAAGACTCCAAAATAGTGTTCTTTAGATACATTATTACGGGTTGTAAAAAGATTTTAAAAATTATATTAAAAAAGAAAAGTTTCTTTAAATATTAAGCAAAAAAAACTATAACATTTAAAGATCTTGTTTGGGCATAATATGCTGACAAAACCATGCTAATTCCAAATAAAAGTATTCAAATATTTTCTAAATCGCCTAACTACACCGAGATACTAGAGATATGCAGTTACTAGAATAAATGGAAAAAAAAAACGAAAAAAATAAATATACGAATACGAAAATATACGGTATACGAAAAAAAAAGGAAAAAATACGCGGAAAACTTACGCTAAAACAAAAACATGTCTTATCGACTTATAAGCTTATATGAGCAAAAAGTAACATCTTATATTAATTTATTGAATTCTCAAATTAATTTATTAAATTATTCTCATATATTAATTTATTAGATTTTTTTATGTAACATCAAGAACAAGGTTTATAATAGTTTTCTTTTTTTTTAAAGAAGCAAGAATTTAATCCATGGCAACATTATTAAAAAGTAAAGAAAATGTAATTAATATTTTTTATTTTTAAACTTATTACCATAATTTATAACAGAGTTTGTTTACTAAATTAATTTATTTTTATTATTTCTACCTTCCTAGTTAATGTTGAATTTGGATTATTCTATTATTGAGCATGAAAATATGTTCAATAAGTTTATTGTCTTCATTTAGTATTGTTGCTTTCATTTTCTTCATTTCATTTTGCAACCATTTGTTAAGTGTTGTCGACGAAAAATTCACTATTTAAACAAATACTTGTTTTTAAGAAAAACTTAGCCAATCAATTTTTTTAAAGAACATCTAATACCTTCAGCAACTTTTTAAATTCCTCTGGCATAAAATGCAAGTAGGAAATCCAGTATCATTAAAAGTAGGAACCAATAAGATTAAAAGCATCAAAACTGTTTTCCAGAAGATTTTTTTCAAAATTTTTTATTAGAAGCCATTTAGTTTGGTTAACTATGGTTCAACTTAAGCCTTGCTTTGAGTTTTTTGGATGTTTATTTATGAAAAGGTCTATTCTCAATAACTCTAACTCTCTTCAATAATCTCTAATCTATATTTTAGGTGCTTAACTAAAACTTATTTCCCTGCTTGCTGCAAAATTGCATCTGGTTTTATTTCAAAAACTTTAGATATTACTCTGATCCCTCTAAATAACTCTCTTATTATTATTTGAATCTTTGAGTCTTTAGTCAAGAAATTTTTTAATGTTTTATTTTGAATCTAACAACTATCTCTCTAACAATCAATTAAAATTTTGATCTTCCTGTTCTACTGCTGACTTTATAGACATTATAGATTGATTGCGCATTAGAAGGATGTGTTAAAACAAATGTTATTGCTCTTGACTAAAAAAAACTTTTGATAATGTTTAAATTAGTGGTTTTTGATTTAAGCTCTCTTATGATGTATTTAGTAATTTTTTAAAAGTTATTGCATCATTCCATAATAATTACAGTATTAAAGTTGTCCTAGATAGACAACACTCTCATTATTTTTTAGTTACTTCTGAGGTACTATTAGGTTCCATCATTATTCTTTTTTTTTTGGATTTTTTGTTCTAAAAAGTCCAATTAAGTTATTTATTTTTTAGAATAAATTAAATTATATTTGCGAACTAAATAAAAATATTTTTTAGTTATTAAATAAGTTTGGATTTAGTTTATTATGGAAATTTTTTTTTTAGTATTAAATATTTTATGTTAAAATAAAGCAGTGGAACATTTTAGTTTTTTTGATATTTACATATTTATATACAGGTGACATGCCCGGGCGGCTTTTTTTTTAAGGAGTGACGCCGCTGTTTATGTCATTGAATAATAACTGAATTTATTTTGTATTGCTTTTGTATTATCTATTTTTAACAGAAATTTTCACAAATGTTGCCTTGGCTATTTCGTTCATAAATTAGATATGTAATTTTAAGCCTAATTTACTTAACACAGTGCACCACTAAAAAGGTAAGCCACAAGACTTTGCACTTCATCTGTATAATATCATTTTGCCTAAGACTAGCCCTCCATTTCTGGATTCTTACCTTTTCATGATAAACATGTAATTTAAAGTAATATTAGGTTTTTTATTAATGTAAAGTAATATTAGGTTAATTAAGTAATTTTATAATTATAATGGTTAGCCCTGGATTCTATTCTTTTCATGATAGCAGTTTATGTAAAGTATTAGTAATCTTGTCTAAGGTTATCCCTCCATTTCTGGATTTTTTTCTTTTCTTGATAGGAATTTTTTTATTTTAATTATTTTTGTTATACTTTTGTTATTGAGATAGACTAACACCAGATGTACCAGTCTTGCAATCGAAAAGTCCTAAATCCTCGCAAATCTCCTTATTTGAATTTACATATCTTAAAACAAGTGACATTTGTTCAGTATTTGAACAGTCAACTGCTTCATCACAAAGAATTGAAAAAAAATTTATTACTTAACACTTTTTATTAAAGCTACCTCAGTTGTTTTCCTACAAAAATCAATAAGTTAGTTTTGGGTAGTTTTTGATATATAGTTTGCATCTTTTGGACTTGAAGAAAGACGATTAGCTAGTATTTGATCACCAGCATCAACAGAAAATTTTAAAAGCTCTATGAAGTTAACTCTTCCAACCTTTTGTGCAGAAGATTCCCTAATATCAGGACGATATTTGGTATTGTCACAATTTCCACAAAATGCTAAATCATTTCTCTGAAAAATATTGCTTTAAATATTGGAACTAATTTTTTTCAGTTATCAGAAAAAAGTTTTACACAAGAGTTATTTAAATCAACCTCAATAACATTACTTTTGGAGTTGCAAAATGAACGTGACGATACCAACGTGAACGTAATGCATTAAATGAAAACATACATCTTTTATGTAAAACACAACTTTTCTTATTTTTTTTAAATTCACAAACAGCATTACCCTATTCTTGATGAGGCTTGAAAACTGAATTTAGTATTCCAAACTTATTTGGAATACTAGCACCTAGCAAAGTACAAGGAAAATAGTAAGCTCTATCTTCTTTGCTAGAATAAGCTAACCAAGAAAAGTGGCTGAGCCATTTAATTTTAAATAATCTTTTTGTATTACTAGATAAAACAAATATAGAATTAGAACGAAATACTTTGTTTATCATATCAAACAAAATTGCATTGTATTTGCCAGCGGTTAAATATTTAACATGGGTTAGATATGTTAAAACATCATATCAAAAATTTGAGTCTTTATATAAAGGATTATAAACTGAGTTGGAATCTAATGACTCAAATATTTTAGAATCTACAGAAAGTTCAAAAAGTAACTCTATAAAGGCATTGTTTTTTTTAAGTTGATTTTAGATTCAATTTTGACATGTTTTGCAGAATTACTTTTTTCTGTGAAAGAAACATCAAAGAATTGTTTTTTATTTGTTTTAGTTTTAGGACTAATAAAGTGTAAAAGATAAGTAAAAATAAATTTAAAAAAGTATATAAAACATGATCAGTTTATATTATTTTCTAGCTGGAAATATATAACACGATTAACTTTAGTAATATGGTTTTACTTTAAAGCAACATAATCTTCGCTATCTTCTTGCTTTGGTATAAAACAAACCATTTCAGAACTTTCAAAAGACTGACATATCATATAGTCGTATAGTCACAGCCATATAGTGTATGGCTGCACTGGACATTTGTTATTTAAAATTTTCAACTCTTCAATTAACTGATTTTTATATTTGTGAATATTTAGCAAATATCTAGCCTTAATTGCATTTGAGACTAAAAAATTCATCTTTGTTTCAAAACTTTAATTTACTATTAAAGTCTTACAATAAAAATTAAGAGTGAAGTACAAATGCCAGATGGAATATCAGAATTTTGTAAATTTTAAACAATTTGGAGCAACTGATGCAATTGTTCTAAACTTTTTACAAAATTGATTGGTTATTAAAAACATTCTTTATTTTTTTTGAAACATTTTTGTATTTTTTCTGTGGAAGGTTTGTAGCAACTGTCGCAATTGTTATTTTAATAAATAGTGATTGGTTAAATAAAATAAATGATTGGTTTAAACTGTTTTTTAACCAATCATTTATGATTTAGAGCACAATTGCATCACTTGCTACAAAAAGCTACTATAAACATATTTATATCATTAAAGTTAAATTATGTTTACATTTTGGCTAACAAAGTTTTCGCTTACTATTCATAAACTAGTTAATCATTTCAATAGTTCAAAATAATTAAAATTATTTTGAACTATTGCTGTGAAAGTGTTTTTTCAACAATTACTGCTCAATGTTTACCGCTTTAACTATTTCTAGACTGGCCACATTTAAATCAAAATCCAATCTTGTCAGGTAGTAACTCTGCTCTTCATATTCCACAACTTGATATTTTCACAATGCTTTGTCAACAGGGTTCTGCAGGTATGCTTTCTTTAAATCAATTATCTCAAGATTTTTTTCCAACTTTCTACAGCTGCAAAGTTTGGTACTGCAAACATCACCATCTGCAATGTGACTGGATACAAATTGATTCAGCTCACAGTAGTATTTGTTTTAATAAATTACTGCAATCAACGGAATAATGCTATTACATCTCCCTTCAAATGGTTTCAGCCATCCCTGTGTTATCCATTTTCTTATTTCTTTTGCATACTTTTTTAATGTTTTCAGAGATATGATAACTTGGTTTAATTATGATAATTTATATGATGAATATGATAATTTTCTTTGTTAAAGTTGGTGCTTCCAGCAGCTATTTCCAAGACACGCTCCAACTTCCATTTTTAAATTCTGTTATAAAGTCTTTATCAATCAGTTTTTGAATAATAGGTGAGGATACTTCATTCTTTTTTTCTTGAGAGACTGCAGTAGGGCTAATAATTAGTTACTTTACATTTAACTTTATGGTTTTGCCGTCTCTCCTGACTTGGACACCTCCAAGAAATCATATTTTACTTCAATTGACTTCCAATCATCATGGCAATTTTTTCTCTTGATGTTTTGACATTTTTTATGTTTACAATATCACAACTTAAAATTGATTTGGAGCATCCAACCATGCTTTTATTTCGCTTCCATTAACATATACGCAGAGAATTGGCAGTTTTAGATTTTGTGGGAAGTTGCTTGCACAAAAACGGTTGGCCTCTTTCATTTTTTTTGAGTTTGTACACTTTTTGTAGTAACGCTGGGCCAGGTGGTTGTCCACTCCACACACAAAGCTACTCTTTTTTTCAATTTCATGTTATATAGCATGTTATGGACTTTTATTTGCGTCCTTGAGGAACCTGTTTTGGACTAATGTCAACATGGTTCATGAAACTAACAAAACATGGTTCTTCGCAGCGTAAGATTACCAAACTTCTTAATTTTTCAGCAACCTGGTACAATGACATGGTTGATATAGAGCATACAGTTTGCAGCTTTTTTTTACTTTATTTTAATTTCTTTACTCAATATATACACTTTTTCAGACTTGGACAGAAATGGTAAGCTATACTTGACTAGAAAAAAAATTATATATAAATATATATATATATAAAGGGCTTAATTTAACAGTCGAACATCGGACATTGCCCGGCTAAAACCTCAGATTGTCTGATCAATTTACAAAGTCATCGGACATTTTGTCCAGTGAGATTTTCAATACTTTAAAATAAAATTTTAAAATAATTTTTTTGAACGTTTTATTTAGAATGTTAATGAGGAACATCCTTTTACGTTGATTCCAAAGTTATTAAAACAATTTTATAATCTTGGTTGGGTAACAGGAACTGGTGGAGGCATCAGTATTAAATATGGGTAAGTTTTGGTTTTTTATTCCTAAAAATAAAAAAAAGCCTCTAAAAAAATTACTTGATTAACTTGAACACTTTTTTTGATTGCATTGAAAACTACTTTGTTTTCCATTATTCCAACTTTATTATTTATAATTTGCATTGAAAACTACTTTGTTTTCCATTATTCCAACTTTATTATTTATAATTTTCATTGAAAACTACTTTGTTTTCCATTATTCCAACTTTATTATTTATAATTTTCATTGAAAACTACTTTGTTTTCCATTATTCCAACTTTATTATTTATAATTTTCATTGAAAACTACTTTGTTTTCCATTATTCCAACTTTATTATTTATAATTTGCATTAAAAACTACTTTGTTTTCCATTATTCCAACTTTATTATTTATAATTTGCATTGAAAACTACTTTGTTTTCCATTATTCCAACTTTATTATTTATAATTTGCATTGAAAACTACTTTGTTTTCCATTATTCCAACTTTATTATTTATAATTTGCATTGAAAACTACTTTGTTTTCCATTATTCCAACTTTATTATTTATAATTTGCATTGAAAACTACTTTGTTTTCCATTATTCCAACTTTATTATTTATAATTTGCATTGAAAACTACTTTGTTTTCCATTATTCCAACTTTATTATTTATAATTTGCATTGAAAACTACTTTGTTTTCCATTATTCCAACTTTATTATTTATAATTTGCATTGAAAACTACTTTGTTTTCCATTATTCCAACTTTATTATTTATAATTTGCATTGAAAACTACTTTGTTTTCCATTATTCCAACTTTATTATTTATAATTTGCATTGAAAACTACTTTGTTTTCCATTATTCCAACTTTATTATTTATAATTTGCATTGAAAACTACTTTGTTTTCCATTATTCCAACTTTATTATTTATAATTTGCATTGAAAACTACTTTGTTTTCCATTATTTCAACTTTATTATTTATAATTTTCATTGAAAACTACTTTGTTTTCCATTATTCCAACTTTATTATTTATAATTTTCATTGAAAACTACTTTGTTTTCCATTATTCCAACTTTATTATTTATAATTTGCATTGAAAACTACTTTGTTTTCCATTATTTCAACTTTATTATTTATAATTTTCATTGAAAACTACTTTGTTTTCCATTATTCCAACTTTATTATTTATAATTTGCATTGAAAACTACTTTGTTTTCCATTATTCCAACTTTATTATTTATAATTTGCATTGAAAACTACTTTGTTTTCCATTATTCCAACTTTATTATTTATAATTTGCATTGAAAACTACTTTGTTTTCCATTATTCCAACTTTATTATTTATAATTTGCATTGAAAACTACTTTGTTTTCCATTATTCCAACTTTATTATTTATAATTTGCATTGAAAACTACTTTGTTTTCCATTATTCCAACTTTATTATTTATAATTTGCATTGAAAACTACTTTGTTTTCCATTATTCCAACTTTATTATTTATAATTTGCATTGAAAACTACTTTGTTTTCCATTATTCCAACTTTATTATTTATAATTTGCATTGAAAACTACTTTGTTTTCCATTATTCCAACTTTATTATTTATAAACAAAAAATCTAAATAAGAGTTACATGTTTGTAAATAGAAGCAACCCTTCCCAGGAAGCGTGTGTGGTCACACAACTTGTTCTTCAATGTTTAAAGTAATTTCTTTAGACAACTTGACTACGTTTTTATATAATAAACGTTTTAAGAATTTGTGGCAAAAAAAAGCTAAAAGAAACAACATATATAGAATAAAACAGCAATATTCTGAGAAAAGAAATGAATAATATACAAAATAGAAAATCTAAATAAAATAAACTAAAACAAAATTAAAAAAAGAAAAGTTTTTTAAAAAAATAATACACCTAAATATTTTGTTTTTTTGTTTGTTTGTTTTTTAGAGCGTTTGTTATTTTCCACTACTAAAATTAAATCAAGTCGAAGAAAAAAAGCAGATAAGAATATACTGAAAATAAGAACATTTTTTTGATATACAGTTTATTAGCGACTTATGTCAGTCAGTATATTAAGGAAACACTTTGTGATAGAAATATGGACAATTTTGAAATTCGTTTTTCAAATGCTTTTGCTATACTTTACTGTTTTTATCAATGCACAGAAAAGCGAGAATACTGATTGCTATTTATTTGTAAAAAAAAAATTTTCTTTTCAAGAAGTTTTTTATGTAAAAAGATAAAGTCATTAATACTAATATTCAAATATAAAATATTTGGTTATTTTTACTACCCTGATTTAAATAGTCTGCACTTTTGTTAGATTCTCCAAATTGTCCATTTAAACCTGGTAATTTATTTCCTGATAAACTATTGTTCTTAATGATGCTCCAAAAGCTTGTGGGCTAGTGCTATTTAATTTATGAATTTTTTTTAACGAAATTTTTAGGAGCCTATATTGAAACTTTTTTTTAAGTGTTTAAATACATTTTTTTAAACAGAGCAATCATTATGTTCATTATCTCTAGTAATTTTGTATTATTATTGCAAGTTAGTCAATATAAAGGAGACAATATCAGACAGGCATGAAATGTGGTAAATTCATTTATAAAGCCATGCAATTCATTTATTTATTTTTTTCTGTCATTACAAAATTTATTAATCAAATAATATATAACAAATGTTAACAAATAAATAGCAAATAAATAAATTTATTTTCTTATTTTCCTATTATATAAGTATTGAGAAAAATGTCAAATATAGCAAAAACATTTTTCAAAGCAAAAAGACTTGAATACGAATAAACGTAAGAAAAAAAATTAACGAAATTTCTCATAGTTCTACCGTACTACCAAATTATTTCTTAATTATACAGGGTGATAAAAATCGTGAATAAATTGCATAATTGTTAATAAAATGTAATGTTTTTTCCCTCAACTTCTATTAAATTTGGTAGCTAAAAATAACAACCATCCTTAAAAAAAGAATTTAAAAGTTGTTTAAAAGTTTTATTAAAATTTTTTTTTTTTTTATTTTAATTTTTTAATTTTCTTTTTTTAAATTATCAAATTTTTCTAGTTAAAATAATTAAATTTTGATATTTTATTACAATTTTGTTTCCTTTTTTTAAAATTGATTTCTTTTTCTCAGTAGATCAGTTTCACTTTTTGCCACAAATTGTTGAATTGCTTAAAAGATGCGAGCTGCTGTGGTTAATGTGTCTGACAAAATTACTATAAACATTGACAAACAAGGTGTGCGACCACATGCGCTTCCCAGAAAAGCTTGTATAAATATAAATAATTTTTTCAAAATTTTTAGAAATATGTTTTTCCTTTTAGAGATGAAATATACTTGGCACCATCAGGTGTTCAAAAAGAACTAGTCGAGGTATTTTATTAACTTTCTTCTCAGCACAGTTTGTTTGAATTGTTAATCATGATTTTTCAGCTCAACGAACTTTTTAATCACAGTTTATGTTTAAAAAATTATAAGGCCAAGAAAAGGCAATAACAACAATAAAAGAATTAAAAGCCTTTATTTTAGTAGCTTTCTGGGTTATGGAGAAGTGTATTTAATAAAAAAAAAAATTTTTAAAGAAAACAAAATTTTAGTTGTTTAAAAGATTAAAACCTCATATACTTGGATATAAAATTAAAATTCTCATTTTTCTGGACTCTATTAATGTTTATGTATTCTTTATTATTATGTTCTCAGAGAGCATCTTAGATGAGATTTAAAATAAATATTTTTCAAAAATTACATTATTTACAATTTAAATGTAATTGATAATGAATAATGTAATTGATAATGAATAATGTAAAAAAAAAAAAAAAAAAAAAAAAAAAAATGTAATGTAAATATATAATAAATATATAATATTTAATATATAAATAATATATAAAAATAAAACATTTACTTTTATTTTTACACTATGGCTATTTCAATGCTCCATCTAAGAAGGGACTGCTATTATAAAAGTCTTTTTTTTTTTAAATAAACATTGACATATAAGAGTTGTTTAATAAAAATGTTTATTTTTATTAAAATATTTATGTATTAACTATGTTATTAAAATATTTATGTATTAATTATGTTATTAAAATATTTATGTATTAATTATGTTATTAAAATATTTAGTGAGAAAACCTAGGATATAGCTTATGAAATCAAGATAAAAATTAAAAAATTTTTGAAAAATTGATTAAAAATTTAAATAATAAAAAGGTACTTATATTTGATTAGTTATAAATTTAATAGTAACAAAATCATTTAAATAGTGTTTTAACCTTTAGTAAATAATCGCTGATTGACAGTCTGACTGATTAAGTATCAGACAGTAATACTCAATGAGATCTTCAATCATAAAATTATCTTGTTTTGTGGAGGTTAAAGTCATGGCTTTTAAAAAGTGAATAATAAAAACATATTGATCAACCCAAGTGTACAAGTTTTCAACCCTATCCTAAGTGGGTAAAAAAGTTAAAGTTAAAAGTCATATTTTTACTGATGCATTATTAGTAGTTAATACATGTATATATATATATATATATATATATATATATATATATATATATATATATATATATATATATATATATATATATATATATATATATATATATATATAAACATATATATATATATATATATATATATATATATATATATGTATAAACATATATATATATATATATATATATATATATATATATATATATATATATATATATATATATATATATATATATATATATATATATATATATATAAACATATATATATATATATATATATATATATATATATATATATGTATAAACATATATATATATATATATATATATATATATATATATATATATATATATATAAGCATATATATATAAACATATATATATATATATATATATATATATATATATATATATATATATATATATATATATATATATATATATATATATAAATTTTAGTAGAGTGCCTACTTTTTGAGTTGCCTGTTGCTATTTTTTATAAAAACCTTTGCTTTCAGTGGAACTTGCATATTCTAGTAATTTTTTTATTATAGGGCTAATTGTAGACAAGAAGTAATTTGCGTAAATAAAAGTAATACTGTAAACTATTGATAACATTCACTTTTCTACATTCAGATAAAGCACATGTTGATATACAATTCATTATATTTCAACATGTTCAATATTCAACAACAATTCAAGTGAAAGGCCATTAGGCTTTTCACTTGAATTGAGCACAAATTTTATAATTTTTTTTTTTTTTTTTTACAACAACAAAGTATTGACAAATATTAAAAAGCAATTTAAAAATACTTTAAAACCCTTTGCTTTTAATGTGCTGTAATTATTAAAATCTTGTTTGATACAGAAGCCTAAAAACTATTGATATTTCGAAAGTACTTTATAGTATTGTGTTGTAATTAAATATAATTTTTTTATAATTTATTTCTTTAAACAATCTTATACCTTTTGTTTGTTTATCGCTATTTATTTATTTAAATTTGTGCCTATTTAATATAGTATTTTTAATAAAGATTATAAACAATTTATAGATATTTGATAACGTAACGTAGAAGATATATGTAAACGTAGTTTATGTTTATAAATGTTTTATGTCAAAAGAACTTTATACTATATTTAAATATAATATAAGTTATAAATAACTAAAAAATTTTAATACATTAGTGAAAAGAATTCTTTTAAACAAAAGCACTGCTCCTTTTTTAAAAAAAGTTTTTAATATGCTTTTACATATTATAATCTATGACAATCTATGATAGAGAGACTTGGAAAAATCAAGTAACTAGAAAAAAACTTTTTTAAAAAAAATTTGGAAATTTTTTTACATTCATTTGAAGCTAATTTTTATATTCAACATTTTACCACTTTAGGGGCCACCCATAAAAGACATCATGCTAATATGGGAGGAGGGAAAGGGTCAAGATAAAAAGGACAAAAAAAGACAAAGGGGAGGGGAGTCATCAGAAAAGGACATCATGTTATAGAATTTTTTTTATTTTAGTTTTAATAATATGGACTATATTAGGTCTCAATATACTTGTTTAGCCTTATTTATTCACTTAAAATTTTTAAATTACTTGATAAAGAGGTTCAAATTGTTGAATGAGCTTGGTGCTGAGCTCAAAAAGAAAGGCTATGATATTAGTAGAAGTGCTTTATATACTCTTTTGATGCCAAAACAGAGCAAATTATATGAAGGAAAGAGACACGTCCACACAGTTCCAATCAAATTGATGCAACCCCAAAACAATCTTCATTCAAGTCTTGCGGATGATCCATTTTGTACAGCAACTATAAAGAATATGGAAGAAGTTTGCTCTTTTTAGGCACCAAGTATGTTTGCTTTATAAGTTAAGACAATATAGCTTGGATCCCATTTAGAATCAACACTGCTAACAAACAAGCTCCTATATTAATGCATATGGAAATATCAAGTTTCTCTTCCTGATTATTATTGGTTCATCACCGCAAAGCACAAGTTCATCTCGTCTCTCTACGCAGGCATTGAAAGCAAACTAGATGGGCTTGGAAAATGTGATGCAGGTTCCTATTTTGGTCCCACTTATAATGCTGTTCCATCTGAAAAGCATTCATTGTTGACAGCATATGCTCACAGATTGGACTTTGAACAACTTTAAACTCTGCCAGAGTTTGATTCCATTACAAAAAGGTCGTTTGACCAAGTTGGTTAAGCCAGTGGTTGTCTTCAAGTTTGATTTAAGAGAATTGATTCTCTCTCATGATCAATATGGAACTCATCTAGACTCTCAAGGAATTTAAATTAATTTTTAGTATCAACTCTTTATCAAAATACAATATATGTATTGCAAGACTTAAGGAGTTAATTATCTGCATTGCGACTTATTTTTAAGGTAGGACAGTGGATCTTCTTTTGGAGAAAACAGAAATTTGATTTTTCAGGAAAGATCTGTGCCTTGATCTTTTTAGGTCTGATGATTAATCATTTTTTATATTTATCGAATTAATTTTTTCAATTTTTAATTTTTGTTTGTTCATTTAAAAAGAATAGCATGTACTATTATAACTATAGCATAATGTTTTTTGTTTACTCTTAAAGTTTTATATAATTCGTAGCATGTTTGCAATATTTATACCATAGTTAAACTTTTGCTTATGTAATTCTTTTTTTTTTTTTTTTTTTTCAATTTAATGCCGTGCTTATGATTTTCATAAATAATTTCATACAGGGCCATTCCAAGCTAACTCGGGGCCCTCAGGCAAAATTAAATTGTAAAGCTCCAAAATCTAATGTCACCTTTGCAACAACATGTATATACTTTTTGATATTTAGCAAGTATTTTTGGCGGTCTATAAGTCATTAGGGTATGGGAATAAATTGTATTGTTGTCGGAGTAGCCCTGTTCTGATTTTCTGATTTTGTTCCATTTTTATTTTTAAATAATATAATGTTATATATAAATAATATGATGTTAAAATAGATAATGAATATAAATTATAAAATTTATTTTGAAAGAAAAATTATTCCTATATTTTGACTAAATCAACGTTTACTTGACTTGGTCCATTTTGAAAATGCATTAATTTATTTTAGTTGACAGTCTAATTAAATAAAAGTTGTAACAACACACAAAACATATTAAAGAATACATTTGTTATATGAAATATTAGAATTAATGTATGGAAAATTTTTTCCATGTTTCAACATAGAAAGTATGCAAAAAAGAGTAATAATTGTTTTTAGTTAAACATACAGTATAAATTTGTTGTTGTCATTTGCCAGTGTGAAAGAATATAATTGGAAATCAAAATAGCTTTTTGTCATGGCAAAAAAAATTGCTTTGCACAAATATTTTGTCTTGTGAGAAAACAGTTTTAATAACAAGTGGAAAACAAGCATTACTTAACAACTCAAATTTAATAGTGTAATAAAAAACACTAGAGCAAAATCTATAAGCATTAAAATAACTATTACATTTAAATTTTTATAAAATAAATTTAAATGGGGTTTTATTAGCTAAAATATTCATATTAAAGTAGTCTCCTCAACTGTAGTGGCCTTCTTCCTGTCTTGATCATAAAAAAAAGGGATTTTGATCCCTTTTTTTTATGATCCGATTTTTAATCTGATCTCTCTTCTGTGACAGCTTGGAACATGTAGTGGTATGTGGACAGCTTGGAACATGTAGTGGTATGTGGACAGCTTGGAACATGTAGTGGTATGTGGACAGCTTGGAACATGTAGTGGTATGTGGACAGCTTGGAACATGTAGTGGTATGTGGACAGCTTGGAACATGTAGTGGTATGTGGACAGCTTGGAACATGTAGTGGTATGTGGACAGCTTGGAACATGTAGTGGTATGTGGACAGCTTGGAACATGTAGTGGTATGTGGACAGCTTGGAACATGTAGTGGTATGTGGACAGCTTGGAACATGTAGTGGTATGTGGACAGCTTGGAACATGTAGTGGTATGTGGACAGCTTGGAACATGTAGTGGTATGTGGACAGCTTAGAACATGTAGTGGTATGTAACAGCTTGGAACATGTAGTGGTATATGTATTTTAACTCCAAAAAATGTTGTTTATTGCAAATACCTATCAGAATATTATTGACACTCCTATATTGACGAATAACAACCTTCTTACTTTTAGACATGTACAAGCACTTTTTAAATGTAGTTGGATCTGCTTTATCTTCTAAGCCTGAGCCACTCTCCATCCTAATGTTTTATCTCTACAAATATTATCATGAGTGATTAACCAAAACTCATTCTAGTTTTGCTTGTCATTCAGCAAAGTTGCATCCTTTTACTTTATTGTTCCCTTCATGCTATAAATTCCTCTAGTTTTTTTCCTAGCATATCAGCAAAGTTCTCACCCATTCTTATGTTTTTTTTACTTATACGACCTTTAACTTTTTAAGTTTTTAGTCAACCGTTGGAAGATAGAAAGTCCTTTGAAATCCTTTTGTCAACTATTGGAAGTTGAAAAATTGTTTCAACTTCCAATAGTTGACAAGTCTTCTGTCAACTGTTTCCTTGCTCTTTAACTCTATTCTTTGTTTTCTAGTAACTCCCAGCTTAATAGTGGTTGCCTGCAGCCTTGTTGGTGCTTCGAACAAGGCTGCAAGCATCAGAATTTAAAAAGTAGTATACTGTTGTACATCTTATAGTTAATGGAATGGTATTGAAATGGTATTAAAATGGTATTACTGACTGAAGTATTACTGACAATGTACTTTTTTAAATCAAAATTTAACTGTGGCCATCTTCAAGGCTATAAGGCAATAAGGCTATATAGCAAGAAACAACAGGCCATGAAAAATGTTCAACAGCTTAAGATAAATTTAACTATATATCACCTCTAACTAACATAACTTGTATGTGTAGAAAGACAAAATATTATTTGTTATTATCTCCAATTGCCGAAATTAATTTAAAAATTATAAGATAGCATAAATATTGTCATCATCGAAAATAATCTAATGAAACTAATATATTGTTTTAGTCTGAAGAATATTAGTTAAAATAAAAAGAGTCTTATTTAATATTGTTAGTATATTAATATATTATTATATTAATATAATATAATATTAGCATTTCTTTATATCATAAGAAAAAAAATGTTTATATTATTTAGGCTTTTTTCTACATAAATGGTGAAAATTCCCTCTCTTTTTCTCCTTTTCTTCTTCAAAAATTCTTTTTTTAAAATTTGGATTTGATTTAAACCTAAAGAGACTTTTAGGTACACATATTATTATATTTAGGGTAATGATCTTTTCATTCAAGACATAGATGAAAATTTTATTCATATGCCATCTCATGGAAGGTAAAAAATATGCTGTTTATATTATATTTTTCAAAGTAAATTGAAGGTAAGAATTAAAGATATGTATTTTAATTTTGACTTGTTTAGTAAGAAATTAAAGATGACACAATGTCAGCCATTGTTTATGAACGCTTATAAAATGAGGGGTAATAATTTTTTTAATGCTCTAATTATTGTAAAGTTGAAAAAAATTTTATATATACATACAGGGGCTATTCTAGGAAAAAAAATTTTGGTGGCGGTACCCCCTCATCCCGGAGAAATTTAGTAGAAAATTGACAGTTTTTTGCGAGAAAAAAGAATATTCGCTGTAAAAATGATTAAAAAAAAAGGTCCTCAAATTTTAATTTGGGTGCCATCCAAAAAAATTTGACGCTGTCGATAAAGATCTAGAAAAGCCCCTGACATATATAAATATGTATGTGTATATAACACACACACATACATATAGACACACATATACACAATCAGACTACATATATATATACAAGCACACACACACACATATATCTATATATATATATATATATATATATATATATATATATATATATATATATATATATATATATATATATATATATATAAAAATAAAATATTTATTACCTAACAGGAAGTGGTGCTGTTATACATACACATTCTTCTAATGCAGTACTAGCAACCTTATTGTACACAGGTAGCGAGTTTAAAATTACACATCAAGAAATGATAAAAGGTATCAGGAAGGGATCTACCTCCGATAGTTACAGGTAAAGATGTCACTGGTTTTATATATTAGGTGTGGATGTTGATTTAAGAATTAGGTTATGCAAACAAGTTATGTACTTTAGAGAGATTTGCTTAGATATATTTTGTATATTTTTGTATTAGATATATTATGTGTGTATATATATATATATATATATATATATATATATATATATATATATATATATATATATATATATATATATATATACATATATATACATATCAGGTATGATGAACTTTTAATTGTGCCGATAATTGAGAACACTCCTTTTGAAAAAGATTTAAAGGTATTTATTTTTATTATAGTATATATATATACAAGTCACTATGAATATTATTAAACACAAAATAGGCCATGCTATAAATACAGTTTGTTTAACTGACTAAAGGCTACCTGCTAACTGTTTATAAAAATGAATAATTCTATTCCACTTCAGATACTTGTGGTTACATTACAGTCACGTGACATATACATAATTGATATTGTCACATACAAAATACAATACACACTTTTGTACCACATACATTTACCTGTTACAAAACTCCATATAATTTTAGATTATTAGTCGTAAAATATACAGGTTATTAGTTGTAATACACATATACAAGTCATTATTGCTGAATTGGTATAACTCTGTATAACAATTCTAGATTATCGAAATGTAATAGTTTTTTTTTTTAAGATACACATTTATTGGACTCCTAGTACTCACATCTAGCTTATGTTACACCAATTTAAATGACTTTCAACTATTTTTATACTAATAACTCTTACTATCAAGACATGCTACAACAGTGGTCACACACAAATACACCACATTGACTATATTATTACACACGCAGCTATAAGAACTCAAAACAGTTCACAACTCTAATTGATCCATGTTATACTGCAACAAACCACTGCACTTATGGACACTCATGCAAAAAATTACTTACTATTGTTTGCAAGTTGTTCTGAACCCCACTAAATGTCCTCTGGTCTCAGTGTCAATTCAGAAGTCTGTGGCAATAGTCCTAACGGGATAATCTGTGAATAGTCTTTTTGGGATAACACAATGGGATACCTTAAAAAGATGGGTTTTTACCGTGGTATAAAGCCAGAGTGGAACTTCTTTTGGGATACCAGTCTTGGATGAAAGCTGGAGGTCTTCATGTGTTCATACTGTACCATAATACAGGAATCAATACTGTACTCGAGATGTTCATGACACACTTATATCTATAATGTATGTTTATCACCCTAATAATACAGACTACATGGTAACTACTTATAAAACGAATAATTCTACCAATTCTGTCTATACATTGCATTTACAACAATTTAGTAGCACAATAATTAATGACTCTTACTTTCCTTGACTATTGTTTATTGTTCTTATTTATTTTTTACTACATTTTACTTATATCAGTTTTTAGTATTTTTCTACTTTGAGGCTCTTTGTTTTCCACTGGACATCTGTCCTTTTGTACTTTTATCTCACTCTGCTAAACTCTTTTTAACTTATTATTCATCCCTAAGGCGTTTACTGCTCGATGATGCTTCACTAAAATGTATTACATTTACAAAAAAAAAATTTTTTTCGTCTTTTTTTGTTCTAGATAAATCAGAGTTTGATAAGAAAAATTTATAATTTTTTTTTTTTTTTATGGGTACTCCTATGGTCGGTCCCAGCAGTCCGAAATTTTGAAATTTCTACTTTTTGTAAATAATGAGGGGGGTCAATATGTCAACTTAATTGTGTAAGTTACACAGTTCATAAAGTGATTTGAATATCTTGTCTAAAACCTGATCAGTTTTCATCTGATAAAATCAGCACTCATTCCTTGATGTTTGTTTATTTGGTAGGAGGGGTACCACTGAATATATTTAATTTATAAATATATTAATATATGTATTTTTACTTACTGTTTTAAGCTTGGACTGCATATTAATTTTATTTTTGTTTTTATAGGATAGTATGGCTGACGCTATGCTGAAATATCCTGAAACTAATGCAGTACTCGTACGGAGGCATGGTGTATATGTATGGGGAGAGTCGTGGGAGAGTGCTAAAATAATGTAATTTCAGTTTTTAATTAATTCTAACACATATAAGCTGTTACATATGTTAGATAACTTATTGTGATTAAACAGACATTCCATTGTACGACTTGTTTTGGGAAATATTGCTGAAAATCCCGATTATTTAAATTTGTTTATCGTATATTTAGGCAATTTGATTATGTTTATAAATTTGATAAATATTATAATTTGATTTAATAAAAATTTAAAAATGCAAGAAGTTGTATCGTTTAGGTGCGAGACATATGATTATTTATTTGATATGGCTTGTAAAATGAAACTCCATGGACTGGATCCGACTTCTGTTCCAGAATAAAAATCAACCAAGGCTTTTTTAAATTTATCTTGTCGAAGTTTTTTCGCTTATGAAATCTATAGTATATTTCAATCTAAAAAAATATAATAAAAAAGTATAGTATTAAAAATTTATAACAAAAATGTAAGTTTTATAAAATTATTTATATTTGATAAAATCAGTAGTATATCTTCATTTGTTCGTGTTTTTTTTTTTTTTTTGTTTATTTTGTTTTCAAATTGTATAAAAGCATATCCCATTTTCTACTATCGCTTTAAAATATTCTTTTAATATTTTTTGGGAATGTTTTAAACGATTTCTTATACCTACATTTAATGCCTACATTTAAAAAAGTATAGTATAGTATTAAAAATATATATGAGCAAAATATTGTATAAATTATACAAAGTTATTTATATATGATATCAGTATTAAATATTTCTTCATTTATTTATTTTTTTGTTTGTTCATGTTATTTTCCAATTTTATAAAAGCATATCCCATTTTCTACTATCGCTTTTAAAAAATTTATATTAAAATTAAAAAAATTAATATTTTTTTAACGTAACGACTTCTTACACTCACGTTTAATGCCTTCATCTAACAATTAAATTATTTTTTATTTAAAAGCATCAAGAAAACTTGTATATTCAAGGAGTTTCTTCATTTTAGCGAAGTTGTGATGCTTTATTTTATATTAAGCAAAAAAAGAAGATTAGTTTAGTTACATGGCATTTGATTTAATAGCAACAGTGGCAATTACACATTTTTAAAAAAGTTTCAAGAAATAAGGCACGTTGCGTTTTGAGAAAAAAAATGCTGATATTGAATCTGCTGTTGAGTGGCATCTTAAATGAAATATGTAACTATTTTAATTTTTTCTTTAAATATAATCTGTAAAGTTCGTATTCCAGTTCACCGTACCATTTCTAAAATGTACCAATATTGATAATGTAACTTTAGTACAAGATTCAAAATACTCCAAGCGATATATGACAAGTGCTGTTGAATTGATTGCATTTAATAGTTAGTTGATGTTTATCATTGGAGTTTATATATTGCTTACTCAACTCACAATTTTTTCAAAATTTAATTCATACAACTGGATCTTAAAGCAATTTGAGAGCATTATAGTGTTACTTAAGTATTTATTAAATGTAACACTATATGTGTATTATAAAGCTTAGTCTGGATATTATTATTGAAAAAGTATATATATGTTTTTAACAAAATAAAAACATTTAAGTGAAAATATGGCATATGCAAAATGCAAGTGAAGTACAAGATATTGTTTCCCACTTCTTTGGTTTCCCACCTCCAGCGATGAGCGATGCATCATAATATTTGATTCACATAAAAGTTTTGAAAAAAGTGTTTTTAAAGTGTTTACCTTCATTAGAAAAAAGCTTGTGTTGGCATTTCTAAATGATGACATTTTTATTTCCATTCTTTATATACCAGAAGCATTTTTTAAAAGCGATTTTTTAAAAATGTGTTAAGAACAGTCTAAAGTTTATTTATTTTATATTATATTTGTGTCACATCGGTAAAAAAAAAAAAAAAAAAAAAAAAAAGTTAAATCTTGGATAACCTGTGTCTGGACCCTCCAATTTTCAAACATACCTTTTTTCTAACATATTTTTCTTTTATGTTTTGTATATTATTAAGCTACACAATAATTATTTGTTTTTTTTTAATTCAATAGATGAATGTTTTTATATAAGTCAATTTAATTCAATAAAAAAAAGTCAATTTGACAAAGTGTCAAAATCTTTTGACACTTTGTTTTCTATTAGTACATGTGTACTAACTATTTTTTTCCTCTAGTGTCCAGGGGCTACCTGATTTTACCCTTGAACAAATCCATCCTTAGACTTAACACTTAAAACTCGTTCAACTGTTCTATTTATCATTTGTTTCTTCATAACATACAAATCAAATAATTTTGTATCATTCGTACATTTTTTTCGCTATAGACTTAAATCTTTTTTAAACACAATTATCACTTAAAAAATCGAGATTTTCTTTAAAAGGAAGTTCTATTGTATACTTATTATTTTCAAATTTTACACTGTTACAATAACTCTTTACATCTAAATTGTCGTTTATACTATCTTCTAATTTAATCCAAGTTTTTGAAAATGTATTTGGTTTTAAACTTTTTATCATTATAAAATTCTGCTTCGACTTTAATAACGATGACAGAACAGAGCAATATGCCTAATTATTCTTTACTGTAATTAAAAGTCTGTTTATTATTTATACATTTGTGATTATATTTTATTTTTCATGAAAGGGAAATGTAATTTATATAAACAGCAAAATAAAATAAAAATTTCAAAAAAAAAATACTGACGTCAGTATTCTAATTACAGTATTTACGGCGTTAATTTTTGTTCAAAAATCTCCCGATTGCCGGTTTGCGCGTGTTTTCACACTTACTGTAATAGTAAGTAGAAACCATGTAAAAATAGAAAAGAAAAAAAAATGGCGAGCACAATACAAAGAAGCCTTAGGGGATGTTAATTTCAACCTTAATGCAACCTTAGGGGATGTTAATTTAGAAACCAATTGTGTTTATGGTTTCTATAAAAAGTCAGTAGTAAACGATAATCCAAGAAGACGTAAAGAAGAGTGAGAGTGGTTATTGTTCATTAATATAGGAATGTCAACAGCATTGCAATAGTTAATTGCAGTAAATAACTGGATTTTGTAAGAGTTAAAATTTACAAGCCACTATGAGTACCAATCTGTTAAAGAAGCGATATCAGATTTTAAATTGGCTGCCTGTTCTAAGCAATCAAAAGGATAACATTTTTTTTCAAGACAAGAGTATAAAGTTGAGTCATCAGCAAAAATAGCTACTTTAGATGTAAGACTGTCGGGAGAGAGGATCGACAACCGTATTGATTGTCTGACAGTAAGTTATTTGGCAGTAAGTTACTGAGATTGAATGTGAGAAGTTTTTTTATCAAAAACTCGAAGACCTTGTTAATAACTGAAAGAAAACTGGTTGTTCAATAATTGGAGGGGTATGAATGATCTCCAAAGTTTTAAAAAATTGGAACAACAGATGCCAATTTCCAGCAGGTAGGAATATAAGACTCAGTCAAGCACTTTCTAAATACTTTAGAGAGAATTGAAGAGTGTTCTGGAGAACATTTTTGTAAGACAATGTGGTATATTAGATAGGGATTAGATAGGGCAGCTGCTCTATCTAATCAAAATTCATTTTGAAAAATATTACATCTAATAAAATACTAGAGATAAGTGAGCGTATAATAGAGGTGAGCGTATACTAAGATAGGTGAGCGTATACTAGAGATAAGTGAGATAGGTGAGCATAGATTTATAGTTATAGTAACTACTTAGTTAGCATCAAAACAGATTTAAACATTTAAACCAAGCATTTAAACCGAACACAAACATAGATAAAGTAACTTACGGGAGAGTAAACACCTTGCTAAAGGTTCAGGCAGAAAAAAATATATATAAATTAACTTAAGAGTTAGTAAACACCGAGTCAGAGGTTCAGACAGAACACAAACACACAGATAGCAGCTTACGGGTGACTCAACACCACGCCAGTTATTTAGACAGAACACAAATATACATTTAAAGTAGGTTACAAACGATCTCAAACAGTATATAACTATATAGAAGACACACGCAAAAAAAAAAAAATCCTACTCTATAGCCATCTGTGACGCAACCAGTAAATACACTAACCAAAAGTTTTTTTTGGCCTTTAAAGAACATTTATTACATCATTTTTGCCATCGTAAAACAAGTATTAACATTAATTACAAAATAAAAAATATATATTTTAACAACAAAAAACAAGCATTTTTTTTTGTTTTTTCCTTCTTTTTCTGAAAACATTGTATACTATAAAACAGGGGTTCTTAACCCTGTGCCTGAATGATTTGTATGTGCCCGCCACTAACTGACAGTGAAATTTTTTTTTCATAAATATTAATTTAAAATGTTAAATATTTTTATTTATTTGTTGAAGTTTTAATTTTTTGAATGCTTTGGTTTATTAAACATGTTTATATGTTTGCAATATTTCATGTATGAGTGATTCCTTTGCTGACAGTACTTGTCACAACTTGTCTGGTTGTGAGCCAGACGCCAGCCTGGAATTGGGAATACTATTCAAGAATCAAAGCAAAGTTTGGAACTAAACGGACTCTTTTTCATTCGCTTAAGAAAAAATAATTTTACCCTCAAACTTGCCTCAAATCTTTATTGATGAAACTGAAATAAAATAAAAAAACTCCGTTATTATATTCTAAGGTATTTATCTCGATAAAATGTTACTTGGAATATGCATATTAACTACGTGTGAACTAAAGTCTCTGAAAACATTGACGTTTTATACAAATCTCGAAGTTATTTCAATAAGAAAAACTTAAGACAACTTTATATCTCATTTATTTACTGCTACATAAACTATGCTCGTACTGCCAGTGAAAGTACTAAAAAAGTAAATTACATCGCTGTCAGACTTTAACTTTATTAATCGTTTTAACTTTGACTTTGCTAATCGTTTTTCTCATTGTAAATCATTTTTTCTCATATTGTTAACCTTATTTTATTGAAAAGAAAATTTTAAATATACTTAAACTCAACCTTTTAAAAATTTTATGCTTTGTTTATATGTGGAAAAAGTACACATGAAACAAAAAAAAAATTTCTGGTGCCGAGCAAACACTTAGTTTTTTTTATAGTATTTCTCATTTTGATTTCAAATATGCAACTCATTTTTCATCATCACGTCAAGTTGTAAAGATATTTGGATTCAAATCTTTAGTATTTAGGGTAAAGTCTCTAATATTGTCGAAAAAGAAGTTATTCAAAAATGTCAACCTTTGTCTTAGCCTATTTTCATAGAGATTTTTGAAAACATAAACATTTTTCTTAAAACTCATTAATAAAAAAATTATGTGAAAAAATGCTAAAGACTCTTAAAAAAATTTTAACAAAATGTTTTTCAGCAATAATGCAAAAAGTACTTATTTTTATTACAAACAAACAACATTTTTAAAATCACTATAAAAATACGCTTCTTTTGAGACCCAGGTTGACACTTTTGAATAACTTTTTTTTTGTTGACAATATTTGTCATGTTGACAATAATCATTAGAATGGCCATTCTAATGATTTGAACTCAAATATCTTTACAACTTTACGTGATGGTGAAAAATGAGTTGCATATTTAAAATCAAAATGAGAAATGCTATTAAAAAAACTAATTGTTTGCTCGGCACCAGAAAAAAAAAAGTTTTTTGTTGACCTGTGTAATTTATCCCCCCTCCCCCCCAGTCTTTAAAAATCTTTTTAGTTTAAAACCTAGGTAGTCGGTAAAATGCGAACTACGAACTGCAAACCTGTGTAACGTTTTCACAGGTTTGCAGTTCAACCAAAAGTATCGACCAAAACTTCAACTGCGTTGAAATTTTGGTCGATACTTTTTCAATAAGCAAATCCAGGTTTGGAGTTTTTTTAAAAATCAAGACCCGAATTATTTAAATTTATTTAAATCGTTTATACTAATTTTCTTATAATAATTTGCGATAGATAGATAATTATTATGTATATGTAAATAACTATTTTTAATATATTAAAAACAACTTATCATTACAAAAAACGAATTTGATATTCAAGCGCTTCTTATTATCGGGTCAAGATTTTATTAAAAACGCGAAACCTCATTGGAAAAAAGGTTTTGATCTAAAATTTTACTGCGAAAGTTTTCAACCGTTCAAACTTCCATTGCGGTAAAATATTAACGTTAAAATATTTTAACGTTATTTATTTTAACGTTATTATTTTACTGCACTCGTTATAATTAAACTGTCATCAAGTAAAGCGATTTTCCCTTATTGTGCGACAAAGTCTAATCTGAGAGTAAATTAAATAGCCAAGCGATCCATAAAATCACTTCTATAGAGTTTTATTTTGAACGAGTTTACTTATGTTCTTTTAAGTTGTAAAGAATATGCAAACTTGAGCAAATTATTTATTTTTTTTATAACAAACAACATGTAAAACAACTGATATACGAACATTATTTTAGGTCAGTATAAAACATTATTTTATTTTCCATGCTTTTAGCGACAAAACAACATTATGATGATTGTTTTTATTTTTCTAAAAGAATACTATGAGTTGTTAGTTGGTCGAGTTTCATGTTTTTCACCTAATGCTGGATATTTGAGTCATGCTAGTTTTTTTCCAGTGAAGGACAGCAACGTAAACGTCAACTAAATGTTTTGTGCATGATTTATAGAATTTTTAAGAAATTTACAGTAACAAAACATATAAAATAAAAAATAAAACCAAAAAAGATAACAAATCATTTGTAAACAATAACTGTTTAATAAAAATTACAAGAATTAAAATTCTTATTTTTTCAAGAGAAAACAATCTTATCATCCGTATTCATAATGAAAAAACCTACCTCATCACCAGTGTTCTTAAACTCAATCTTAACTTGGACTGATTTTGGATTAAGAGCAACATTTTTAGTACATTGTACTAAAGGAGAACTGCCTAAACGATGCATAAATTTTTTATATATTGGCAATATTCAGAAAAAACTTATAGTATTTTTTTTTAATGTAATATAAATTAAAAAGATTCGTAAAATGAATTGTGATAAAGAATTATGTTGGTTTATTGTAATTTAGAAAACTAGAGCATAGTACTTTCTCGCAGTCGAGCAACAGAACTGTTAACATTTTCTTGAAATTCTGGATCAAGAGAATTTTCAGCTTCTGCACTAGAAACTTGACGTTACTGTATCGTTGCAACAGCAACGATACAGTAACGTCAACGATACAGTAACGTCAATTCCAAAAAGATTTTGCTACAGCAACGATACAGTAACGTCAATTCCAAAAAGATTTGCAGTACCAAGGATCTCAACATCTGTAGCCCATATACTATCTATGGCCATACCACTTTTGGTAATGTAGTTTTTCACATCATCACTTAAATATCCTGACAAAAGAACAAGGTTTTGATACCATATAAACATACGGTATTAAAAGCTTGTTCCAGTATTTTGTCAGGATATTTAGGTGATGATGTTTAACAACAACATCGCGAACACGTATATGTTGACACTCAGAACCTGCCAGCAAAAACGAAATTCCTCGAAAAAAACAATTGCCATCACCATTACAAACATTTATTTTTGAAGGTACATTATTTTCTTCTCCATCAAAAATATCTGGCATTATAAATATTTTAAGTCCTTGTTCTTTAGCTATTTTTTGGAGAATTTCTTTGGAGGGGTGATGCATTAATTTGGAATTACGTTGACTTTTATCCTGATCGTTGTACTCAGAAGTTAAACTATGCCATTTTGAATTATTTTTCTCTTCAACAAATGGTTTAACAGGATGTAGAGAGTACTTCTTCTTTAATGTTTTGTTCCCTTTAATGTTTCTTAAAGAGATCCCCAAATGCCGAGACAAGTTGTGTTCATATTAAAGAAAATGTTTAAAAAAAACATTTGGGCTAAACTTTTTTGATTAAAACTAAATAATGAATGCACACCATTAAATTTAAAATTCACGTTTTAGTCGAAGCTCGCCGTCTCCATTTTTTTTTTTTTGGTTCTTAATCTGCAGACTTGATAGTTTATTCTGTGCGTGTTAATTCATAAGTTTCGGTATATGACGTCATCGTATAAGTTTTTTTCTGTTAAGGTATCGTATTATTTTTTTACCACAATCACTAAATCATTTTAATTGTATATATTTGTACTAAATCCCAAAAAAATGTTTGTGATACAATTAAAAATTAAATTTATAAAGTTTATCACAATACAAAAAAAAATTATAAAATTTATAAAAATAAAAATTATACATATAACGAATAATTGCAGTAAATCGTACTTACAAAAAATTTTTACCAAAACAAAGGTTTAAACAATTCAATTAATATAAACAAGATACTAAAAGAATAATTTTACTAAGGCGTATAAATTAATTTAAAGTATAAACTGAATGCGTATAATTTGAAGGCGTATAAATTAATTTAAAGTATAAACCAGTGACTTGAATAAGACATATAAACTGAGCTAAGTAGAAATTAAATATTAAACGAATTATTTTTTTAATAACCATAAAATCAAACTAAATTAAATTTAAAACAAATATTTGCACTAAAATATACAAAAAAAAAGTTATATTATAAGTATAAACACGAAGAATCGTATTAACTCGTTCGCTACCAGCGAAACCAAAGACCAAATCTTTATTTACTGATTTTCAAGTACCCATTGATAATTGCATTGGTTCAGTTGAGTTGTCTTCTGAATTATTGTTTGAAGAGTTTGAAAGAGCCTTCAAATCGTTAAAAAAAAAAAAAGCAATTGGAGCAGATCAAATAAATGGAAAGGTTATTATAGCCCAGCGGGCATTTTAACGTCCTAAGGACGTCCGTAAGACGTCTTAGGTCTCGTCCGTAAGACATCCTTAGTTAGTCTCAAATGAAAGGCTTGAGGACGTCTATTCCAGACGTCCTTAAGACGTCTTTTTAAGACGTCCTAGAGACGTTTTTTGCACACGTTTTAGAGACGTCTCTGGTTTGTCTTATATGAAAGACTTAATGACGTCTTTTTCAGACGTCCTAGAGACGTTTGAATTTTACCAAGACATTCTTTTAAAAGTTATATAAAAATGCAATGATTTACAACACACACCTTAGATTTGCCTTAATCTAGGCAAGGGAAGTTATAAAAAGAAATCAATGTAAATTAAGTTTAATTTGATACATTTAAAATAAATTAATAACTTTACAAAAAATAAGAATACTTTTTCAAACAAAGTTACATTTTTCAAACTAAAAAATAATAGGTACTGTAGAATATAATCGATAGTGCATTATAAATAGAAGAAAATTCCTTAAAAATTAAAAAAAAAAAAAAATACAACAGTTAATTAAGCCATTATTGATCAAAATCCATATTAGTTGATGTTCTCTTTATTCGGTCAGAAG